CTTCTGCGCTTCCATATGGTAAACTGGTCCTTATATTACTTATCTAGAAACTTGGAACAAATTTCTAGGATTGAAATCAGGTAGAATTGGTCCTAAGGTTTTGTCCAAACTTTCATGGACCTTTCACTTGAGATGTGACCTTCTATTGTTTTTACCCCATTTTGATGAAAAAATAGCTTAGATGGTAGTCATGATATGAGCCATCAAATGTTTGACAATCATTTGTTTTCTGGATGTCTATCCAATTAACAAAGATGTTTTAGTTTATTATTTGTCGTATTTGCACTTCTATTTAAAAGAATATATTGTTGTCCAGCATCTTCTGATCTAGTATTAGTTTTGCAGACAAAGAGTATTGGTATTAGGTGGAGGAGGTGCCGTTGGATTGGCTGCAATTCAATTGTCAGCAGCAGCAGGCTGCATTGTAACAACCACATGTGGAAGTCAGAGCATTCAACGTGTCCTGGATGTTGGTGCTGAGCAGGCAATAGATTACACTACTGAGGTATTAATTCTCTGAGGCCCTTCTAGTTTCTTTTTCTTGACCAAATTGTTCTTTGTTACTTGCACATGGTCATGTTTGCCTCCCACTGGTATTGAAACAATTCCCTATAACATGAATGCCTAAAAACTTAAATTATCTACAGTCCCGAAATATGATATTGAAGCTTGTCAAAATAGGTACATCGCGAGTGCATGATGGCTGGAAGCCTGGAAATGTCAGGTACTTGAATCTTGAGATTCACATGGTTCTTAGGCTTCCTCTTCACGTGTCTGTGTTATAGAAGAAAAACATGCTTTATAACCCTTGTGCTCTGTCATAATCCTTATCTGCAATAGATGTAAATAGATCTTTGTGTGCGGGTCAATTTGTATATGCAAGCTGTCTGTAATAGGTGTAAAAAATAACCAGCAATAGTGGAATCCCCTAGTCATGGGTTGCATGTTGCACTTAGTGTGCATATACATGCAAATCTTGCCTAATAAGTTAAGACAAAGTTGCAAGTAACCATTGATAAGGTGGGTTTGTGAATGGGTTCAATTATGCATATTGTCTGATTATCTAAAGTGCAAGATTTAGCTGTTCCACAAACTCTTCTTATTTCGTTGCATGTTACTTGCCTTTTGTTCTAATTCAGACCACATATTCTTTATTCACAGGATATTGAGTTAGCAATCAAAGGACAATTTGATGCTGTTCTTGACACCATAGGGATACCAGAAACTGAAAGATTGGGCATTAACCTTCTGAAGAGAGGTGGACACTATATGACACTTCAGGTATATTAGCAGGCTACCTATCAATTTTCATTTTCTGCTTACATTTTTTATCAGATACCTCATGATTTTTTCTTATGCTAGGGAGAGGCAGCATCCCTTGCTGATAGATATGGGTTAGCTATTGGTCTTCCTGCTGCTACAGCTGTTTTGCTAAAGAAGCAATTTCAGTACCGATATTCTCATGGAATAGGTATGCATCTTATAGGTTTTTTTCTTTTACCATTTTGTCTTATTTTGGAAATTGAGTGTTGATTTCTTTGTAAAGGGAAAATTATTTTGTGAAGGCAAAAGGTTAAGGTCCGTGTAGTATTGTAACACTTCTGCACATATTTTTTAAAATGTCTCAGGACTGTTAGATCCTTTTCTGCACAATGCCATGTTAGCGATCATATTTCTGTTAGTAACTGTTGCATACTCTACAGAATCATGGACATTACTGCTTCTTGAAAACAAAGATGCATTAAAAAAATTAAAAGGAAAAAAAAATGCAAGTACCAATTACAATCAAGAAATTTTGAAATGACCCCCATACTGGGAGAACAAACTTTATCTGTGAACAAAAGCATGATTTTGATGCTGTCTCAAATATTTAGGCAATATATGCAAGATGCTCCAGGATGCTCATAAGTTTCTTGACCAGCTAGTAGGTGGTGGTTGCTTGATCGTTACTTGCAAGTGGGACTTACATGTGCACTTGATCCCCTTGATCCCAGTTAATAATAGAGTAGCCCTACAAACAAATATGCTTAGAATCTATTTGATTACTGTATTTTATTTTCAATCTCCAAACATGGTGACACATTCATGACTTGTTTATCAAAATTTCTGCATGAGAAACAATATCATCTCGCGTGGTTCAGGAGGGCTTTAAGATGATATATTATACACAGACATATTGTCGGGTCATGAATGATTGTTCCACCAACACCTAAGCTTCTTTTGCTTACGACCCTATTGCTTCTGCACAGTCCATATCCATCTGCGTGCAAACGGCGATGCTGCCTTCTTTAATAGTGCAGTGGTGCCTAACTATCTCATTCAAATAGACTTATGATGTTGGCTGTATCTAGTTAACTGAAGGATCAAATGATTTTGATCTTACAGGTGCTGGTAAATAGTCTGACTGATCATTTTGCAAAACTTCCCTCTCATATAGCTTCCATAAAATAACAGGCATCACCGGCGAGAGTGTAATAAGTCTCTTTGTCGCATCATTGCTCTGAGCACGTTATTTTCACATGTTTTTGAAGTTGCAGACTATCTATTTTGTCGTTATAATTTTTTTGAATCACATCAATCATGCTAGATCCAGAAGTCACCTAAAACCTTAGTTAAATTCGGTAGCTATTGCTTATCACCATCTTCAGTCATTTTTTCCACTTAAACTTTTGCTATTAATCTCATGTAGTAGATTAAGGTGAGAGGTTCATAGACCCAGAGCCAGCCTTTTAACCAACTGATATTACTATAATACCCATTTATAGACTTATAGTTACCTGCAGACATTTGGTTGCTTAATTTTCGCTTCAAGTTATAAGGTCATGAGATATTTTCACCTCGTCTTTGTTTCATTGAAGATTCTAGTGGCATAAACATCTGAAAAATTGAGGCTCTTTATCCTTGTTATATATGTTCGTCTTACTATTTGGTGCCCTACTATGAATCTATTTTTCTGAGGTGAACTTATGTCAACTTAAGTGGACAAGAGACCTTTGTCCACCAAACTTTTTATCCACTCATATATATAGATATATAAAAAGTCTCTTCATATCTTGCATGGATCCCTAGGTATCATCAATGGATAGAAAGTTTGGTGGATTGTCAACTTAAGCTGACATAAGAATTTGCCTATTTTTCTTGTAATTGTTCCTAATTTCATTTTTTTTAGTGTCTTTGTACAATACTTGACCAGTGATTTGGTATTTTAGAGTACTGTTGGACGTATATGAGGGCTGATGCTGAAGGATTAGATGAGATTCGACGACTAGCAGAAGCTGGCAAGATGAAGATACCTGTAGAGAAAACGTTCCCCATCACCCAAGTTAGGGAGGCTCATGAAGCAAAAGAGAAGCGGCTTGTACCTGGTAAAGTTGTTCTGGAGGTTGATTAGCATGCTGCCATCTTTGTTCTTTGTAGCTCCACATGATAAAGAAACTGTATATAGTGGATCATTCCTCAGGCAGCATTCTCTTTTAATAATATTTCTGTAAGTACTTTGTTTTAGTTTTCTTATAGAGAAAGAGAGTCATACGGGTTCAATCTATGTTAAAACTTTTGGGATAAAGCAAGAAAAAATGTAGACCGTAACCAAAATTGTTGGTGAATAAAATTATAACCCTCAACTGTCACCACAGTTTTGGCAAATTTGGAATTTTAGTATAGAGGCATAATCCTTTGATATGGTATCAGAACATGGTATCAGAGGAATTTAGAATTCAGGTTCAAACACTGAGCTCGATTTTTTAAAGTGGATTACAAAGTTCTCTATGAGTCCAAATTTCTCGACTTGTGGAGACATATTAGATTATAAAATTGAATTCTTAGCTATTACCACAACTCCTGATACATGAGGAACATGTGAGGCGCTATTGTCTTTTCGCTACACGCCATGAAGTCTAAATTTAAATTTAAAAAAAACGTACGTTAACCAGGTGTGCATACATTCGTAGCGAGTAGCCAAAACAACGGAGCTGACAGTGAGCTCGAATTCACAAAGAAGCCCCATTTCGGTCCCTCTCCGACTGCTGTCATTTCCTTCTCCGCCGATCTCATCATCCCCATCGCAAACAACACCGTAGTGTTCGAGCATATTCCCATTCTCCCTTGACGCCTCTCTGTCGTAGCCAACAACTTCTCCTGAACCGTAACCGTTATCTGAACCGCAAACAATATTGCTCTTCTACCGGGATGCACTATCCTAAAAACACATCATTAACTTGAATAGTACCTGTTGATATTAGTTGGCCCAAAGGTCTGTTGATGACCTGTTACCTAAAGACCCAGTTCCCCTCAAAATTTACCCTAGCCCCCTCTATTTCTCTCTCCTACCCGATGGTACTCAATCCCTTTCCCATCTCTGATGGCCGCCGCTTGGAGTCCCATCTCCCATCCCTGTAGGTCGGCTCCTACCATTCAAAACCCTAGCCTCTCTCTCGTGTCGGCTGCCCCCTTCTCTGTATAAGTCGTAGGGTTGGTAGTAGCTCGGGGTGGGAAGAAAGAAGAGACATGGACGAGAACTTGAGCTTTGTGCTCTATTGCTTTGTGCGATCTCTCCTCCCATTTTGTGAGATTTTCCTGACCATCGCTTTGTGCGAATCCCCTTTCCTCTTTGTGAGTGATTTAAGGAGAAGATCTGTGGGCTTCCTTTTGTGTTCTTGGTGGTGCACAACTGAGAAGGAACGGTGACTGAAGAGCAGGCTTCTGAGCCAAACAGCGACGACCAAGATCATCTACAGTACCACTCCCTGTTCTTTCTTGTGTCTCCTTCACGAAGACCAACCTCCCGTAGTCTTCCAACTGTACCGCCAGATCCTTCTATTATATTCTGCAATGCCCAAATGATTTCAAATAATAGATGCTCAATATCGAGTTGCAGGTTCACACCTACCATCGCCTTTCCAAATTTTCATGCTTGAAAGTTTATTTTTGACACGTTGATGTCTAGAAAGGAGATAATTTTATGGCAAATTGTTGGGTGTTCAGATTCAGAGAGGGCCTAAACATGTTCGGTTTATATCACATTTTAGAACTTTTTAGATAATCATATGACTTGGCTATATATTTTACTATGAAATTTTATTAAAAAACAGTAGTAAAAGAAGTTTTCTAAAGGATAATACAAGATACTCGTCAAAGAGAGAAGAAAACAGAATACAGTATACCCCAATGACTTCGGCATTTTTGCATAAAACTCCCAATAATTTTTTAATTTTGTAGATAACCCCCACAAATTGCAACCAAAACAACATAAAAAGGCTCTTTGAAAGATATAGTGGGTTTATTGGAATTTATCCAAAAGAGATTTGATGTTTTCCTACAAAAGTTATTGGGGCTTTAGTGTGATTTTGAAACTTATTGGGGTTTCACTGTAATATGCTGATAATTTATTGGGTTTTAGTGTAATTTACTCACTAACTTATAAGTGTAATTTAACTATACCCAAAGGTTTTTGTACACATCAAACTTCAAATCATACCCCCTTTAAAAGTAAAAAATTAAAGAAAAGTTTTCATTGGATGACATTACCCCCTTATCCATTTTACCAATTTCAAATCAAACCAATTAAAGCTAACTTAGTTGTGACTAAAATACTTTTGGGCTTGGTTGGATATAGCTGGGTACTCTCATAAATTGGATTTTCTTTTCTTTCTTTCTTTCCCCTTTTTTTTAATTGGTTAACATATGAATTGGATTATCTTATTGATGTATAGAGATAGATATCAATGCGAAAGTTTCGCTTGCAATGCACTCGACTTGAATTCCATCAACTATGGTAAATATAGGTCTGTCCATCCGGGTCGGCTCGGTTCGAAAAACCGGGCCCGGGCCGGGCAAAACCGAAGCCTGGACCTAGGCCCGAGCACGAGCCTGAGAGGGCCGACCCGGATTTTTTATTTTTTTTTAAAATCACTTTAAATTTTAAAATATGCATAAAAAATTACAGAAAATGATAATAAAAAATAATAATATTATTAATAACTTGAAATGACATAAATTACAAATACAAAAATTATAAAAATAAAAGATAATAAAAATAACTTCTTTATTAATAATCACTAAATCCTTTACAAGTATAAATTTATTTTGGAATTCGTCGCATCACAATAGATGAGTACATCCCAACTAGGTTGACACCTACTCACTTATATCACTATCATTTGTAACTGTTTCCAAAATAATTCATTATAAATTTAAAGCTAAAAAATAAAAATTATAATTTGATGAATATTGTTTAATCTTTATATCTATCTGCTAGTCCCAACTCTTCAAATTTGTCTTCAATTCCAGCCATCCGATCAACGTCTTGTGTTTGCTTCTCGTACCTTCATTAATCTTGTAAGCACATCATCGCTTGTTAGTATACGAATCTAAGCATGTCCTGTGGTCGTCAATCAAACGTCCTGCTGTGCTGAAGGTAGATTCCGAAGCTACCGTCGAAACCTGCATTGTTAGTAAGTCACGAATCATGGTGAAAAATATAGGATATATGAAACTGATCCATATACTCTCCACTATTACAAAATATCTAAAGCATTTCCTTAACATTTAACTAAAGAAACAAATAAATATTCATCTATTTCAGAAACCTCTAATCATGATCCAAGTCTAGATCCACCAGTTAGCTCAGCTATCATTGCATACCTATCAAAACTTACACTTTTAACTTGGCCTGAGCTCGAAGGCGCCGAAGCTGTAGACTGTTGTGCAGCTACATCATGTCTAGCTGTATACTCATCATATAAGTTTTAAAAATAATTTCTAATAGCTAAATGATAAGAAGTAGCAGTAAGGGTGGATCCATCATCTAAGTCTATAATCTATCCTCCATACAATGATTGTAACAATCTTCGAAGGCTAATATCCTTCAAACATGGATCAATAAGAACTCCCAAACCAAAAATATGAGGAATATGCCTAAAATACTTATTAAATTTGCTCTCTATTTGAAAAATTATAGCTCCAAAAGTATCATTCATACGATATTTGTTAAATTTTTTTGAATATTTAAAATTTATAAATCAACAAAAGTAATAGTTGGATAATAACAGCCAGATAATAATATTATAGTATCATAAAAAACTTGTAACATCTCATTTAAATTACATATAATTTTTCATTCATATTTAGTTATTCTATAAGTGCTACTAGAGCTAAAACTAGAAGCATAATAATTTATAAAATTATTTATAATTTTTTTATATTCTATTGCGACACTTAACATTGCATAGGTGGAATTCCACCTATGGTCAACATCTATTGGAATTAGTTTGGGCTTATAATTTTTTCTTTTGCAAAATTGATTCCATCTTTAATTCTTTGTTCAGAAGCATTATACATATTAGCAACTGTTCTAACATTTTCTATCATGGGTTTAATTTCAGTAAATACACTTTGATTAATTAAATTTAAAATATGACAGATACATCTAATATGAAAAAGATCACCATGACATGGCAATGACAAAGTTGTTTTGATAAATCAACAACTACATTGTTATTACTTGCATTATCTAGTGAAAGAGAAAATATTCTTTGATCAATTTCTAATTTTATAAGTTCTTTAATTATTAAATTTGTAATATTAATACCAATATGTGACTCTTCAATTGTAATAAAGGAAATAACTCTTTTAAACATTTGCTAATTTTCATTAACCAGTGTGCTATGATACATAAATAATCAGTTTGTGCTCTAGATGTCCAAATATCAGAAGTTAAAGAAAATTTACAGTTTAAATTTTTAAAATAAGAAGTTAAAGAAAATTTACAGTTTAAATTTTTAAAATAAGAAATTATTTTTTCTTATTCCTCCTGATAATATTTTAAAATATCACGTTGACAGGTTTTCTTATTCCTCCTGATAATATTTTAAAATATCACGTTGACAGGTTTGACGAGAAAATTTTGTAAATCCGGGATAAAAACCATCTCTAAACCTATCTTCAAATTCATCATCTTCTACTAATTTAAAAGAAAGGTTTTTAAGATTGATAAATCTGATTACGCATTTCCTGGCTCGGGCAGCGTCATAATTCCAACTATCGAGACTACCAGAAGAGGAGGATTGGAAAATCATAGATTTTCGGATATCACCTTGAGGATTCTGGCATTTGTTATGTTTTTCTATATGGCGTTTGAGTTGGTTGGTGCCGCTCTTATGATGAGCTTGGAAAGTCTGGCCGCACAATGCACATTTAGCCTTCTGGGTGAGGATTCTACAGTGTTCATCCTTGGTGACGTCTATCTTCTCAAAAAAAATTTCACACATCAGATCTCGGCATTTTAGGAGCTCTTGGTACAGATTCGTCGCCACCGGATTCGGGATTAACATCGGTAGAATCGGTAGGAGTAGCTATTGTAGGAGGACTCATTTTAAGATCGGTAGGAGGGCTTTGCTCTTCATAATCAGATTCGGAAGCCATTTGATGGAAAGATTGCCATTTGATGGAAAGATTAGAAAATATAAGAGACTATTAGAGAGTATAAGAGAATATAAGATTGTATAAGAGAGTATTAGAGAGAAGTAGATGAGATTTGGTGTGAGAAGAAGAAGTGAAAACTCCCTCTATTTATAGAGGCAGCCTCCTAGGCAAATGGCAAAAAAATCCTCACAAAATAGTCGTTTTTGACCTTTTTAAGGGGCAAAATGGTCAAAACGGCCAATATGGCTGTTATGGTCGTGCCGACCCGGCCCGACCCGGATTTTTCTCGCAACGGTCACCTAAGGTGACCGTTGCGACCATGCCGGGCTCCAAGTCCGGGCCACCCGGCTCGGGTTTCTCTATGCCGTCGGCACTGTACCGGGCCAATCGCCGTCGAGCGGACCCGGGCCCTGGGCCGGCGGGCTTTTTGGACAGCCCTAGATAAATAGATAAGGACAATATAACTTAGTATTGTTTTGGTTGCAAAACCAGTCACATGGAATCGGATTATTATCCGAAATGAAAAAGGAGCAAGAGATATAATGTTCATTTATTAAATATCAACAAGAGTTCATTGTAGCACCACATCAGAACAGAGAGAATGAGAGTTGTCATGTGAAGGCATTCGCCTTCGCATTCATCGTATATTGACCTCTTCCATTCTTACTTTCTAGACATTGTATTAAAATTTTGGGTGTGTTTGGATTTAAGGTTGAGAGATTTTCACATCGCATTTCTTACAATTTGATAATAAAGTTAATTTTCTCTTTCATCTGTGGATGTAAGTATAAGCCAAATCATATTATATCCTTAATGTATTTGTCTTCTTCTCCATATATATATATATAATATATAATATAATATATATATATATATATATATATATATATATATATATATATATATATATATATATATATGAGAAAACGGGAGGTGAGCTGGCAGAGTAGGAAATTTCCTACGCTGCAAGTGTATGACATGTGAGCCCCCTACTAGTCACATCGGTGTGGGCTCACATGTCATACACTTGCAGGCGCAGGAATTTCCTACGCTGCCAGCTCACCTCCCGTTTTCTTCTCTCTCTCTCTCTCTCTCTCTATATATATATATATAATATAAAATATATATATATATATATATATATATATATATATATTATATATATATGGAGAGGTTCTAATAAAAACCTAGAGAACTAAAAACCAATCCTAACCCTCCAATTTATCTAATCCAATGGCCTACATTTCGATGGCAAAATTGTAAATATAGACAAATTTATACACATCATTAATGTGAAAAGGGTAAAATTGGAACAATTCATTACATTATGGTGGCTGGCAACATTGAAAACTTAAGATAATGATTAAAACAAAAATTCAACACGTCCTTTAATACTATCTCTCTTAGTATCAACGTGCCACGTCCTTTCACTTCCCCTTTTCTCTCTCTAACTCACTTCCCGCTCTCTGT